CCTCAACTATGATCAACTCCATCACCTCTGTGAACACGAAGAGAAGTATCACTGGGCCTTAGCTTTTCAGCTCTGAAGCGCTATCACCTTTGAAACTCGGGGTATTGATACCTTATTTCCACACGTCTGTATCGCGCTGTTCATCGAGACATCTTTGAAAGAACCGCGTTAATAGCTTAGCTATCCTATCAGCTGCCGTCTGCAATGCTTTGGGTGGATGTTGTAAATTATGGGTGCGCAATGACAGCAACTTGATCAAAACAGTTGCTGAACTAAAAGTGACGTATGTAAGTTCGGGCGTCTGTGGGCATGGGACAGGTTTGTGACAGATGCTGATGACGCGTCGGAATACTGTAGAATATTTGAGCCATTGAAGACTAGCTGCATTACCGGCGGTTTGTGCGCATCATTTTAATGAAGAAAGTAGGTGAACACCACGCTCCACTTTACGAAGGCTGTTAGAATGCTTACACAGAAACTTACAGATAGCATAAAATCTTTCCGCTAAGATCTGCCGGGGTATAAATTTGTCATCCCGGAAAAATTGTTGCGCTATCGATGGGGGGAGGGCAGAGCATGTACTGCCACAAGAACGTGCAACTGACGACTCACAAACTAGTACATATTTGGACCGTGTTTCCTTCCCACGACGCAACGCGGATGAGGATTTGTGTGACGGGCCGTTCCAGGTGCCTACGAGGTTGGACTTTGAGACAGCCCCCCCATCTTTCCATCCCGTATCTCTGCTTCACTACATCCGATTCAAGCCGGCCATGGGTCGTTCGAAAGCTCGTGGGTTGCTATCCCGCGGCTGGATCCCTCGACCCGCTCCCACTCCTGTGGGTTTCGCTAGAGGCGTATTTGTCTGCTTCCTTGCGTTCTCGACAAATACCTCCTCCATTGTTCTGGGCATTGGCTCGTTACCAGATGCCGCCCGTGATCCGCTGTCCGCTCGATCCGGAACTCTAGCAGAGGCTTGTCTCGTCTCATCCATTGCGCCCGTTGTTAATTCTCTGCAATTCCGTTTTTGTTGTCGTTGCAGTTCACGAGTAGTCACTGGTTTCCGCCGCCCCACAAAATATGGTAACTTGATTATGCAGCAATACACATTTGTTCCAGTGGTCGGGACAAAGGTAAGCTCCTTACACCCGCAACGCTGCGTCGCTAACCGCCATGAGTTATTGGGCACTTCTCCGACTGAATTATTGAACTGTTGCTGAATGAAGGGTCCTGTTTTGCATTGCCGATTAGATCGGGGCACTGAACTTGCCAGTAAACTCCATCCAGACGCTATCACTGAAATATTCATCCGAAAATTCCCGGTTAGAATCTCCAACGACTTCTGTTAGTATCCCACAATGTGCTATTGTACGAAACGAGTCACTATGTTTATGTGGATACTCTACATAACACACATAGTCGTAACTTATTGCTACTTGCTCACTCCTCCCTATAGGGCTCTCCCTCTTTGGTTTGCCAATCATGAGCTCTTCGTTCGTGAACACTAAATCAAGTAAAGATGGTTTAGTTCCGGCTCTGAATCAGGTGGGCGAATGACATGTCTTAATGGCGGAATGCTTGCAATAAGCTCTTGCAGGTTGGCCTTGAACTGCTCACTGGGGAATGCCGGAACGTCCATATCGCGAACATAGAACTCGCCTGAGATGAGTATGTGGCTATATCGTCGCCGAAAGACCCCCTAAGCTAATGTCAATGGGAAACCGTTGCGTCTCAGTCCCAGGCTGTACCAGCGTAAGTCTATGTTCAAGGTTTCCGGACCATCCACTGGTTCGCACTGCAGGTCACTGTGGTAGTATAAAAGAACCTCATCACCCTTGCTGGAGTGATCTTTGCGTCCCTGTAACTTACCGTATATCGCTGCTTCGGCGTCGGTAATTTCTGAATGTACCCAGGTTTCAATTACGAGGATGAGGTCCCAGGGGCATGATGTTTGACCTAGCTGCAGTTATAAAAGCTTGAACAGTGTTTGTCACCACTGGATATCTAGCAGCCAAGCTTAAACCTCCGGGAAAATACATCCAAAAATACCGCACTCTACAGTCGGTTTCGAAGTTATTTATTCTCATCAGGTAGAAACAGCAGGTACTCTAACACAGTGTCATTGGAATGTCATCTACCTCCTTATCTACCTCCAAGCCACCGGCGAAGATTCACTTGCCCACTGGAAGTGGTGTCGTGACCGCAAGTTCGAGTGCTGCATAGTGATGACCAGTTTTCAAGACCACATTTGCTATCTCCTGAAGGAAGCTGGGACTGTGGATGTTATCTCAGTGCATATCAATTAGACTGGTCTTGTGGGACGAGCTACTGGAAGCAAGCACACGGTGCATGCCAGAACGGAGCACGTGGCCATCTACAATGTAGCGGAATTCCTCATTTGTGCATCAGTAACACTCGGCTAAAACGAGTTCCCCGTGTTATGCTCTGAAGCGCTTCAGTGGATCTATCAGGAAATGTAGAATCTCATGCACCGATTCCTGCAGTTAACTTGAACAAGTTTATCTGTTATATGAAGCATGTCAAAGTAAGCGATGGGCACATTTTTGGGTACCATTTTGGTTTTAATAAAAGATGTTGACTAGTCAAGTTTATAGGAACACAACCGGCCTAGGATTTGTGAATGACGCAAATAACAAATACTACAAACAAATCATGCGTTTAGTAAGCACACGGGTCAGCATTGGGTCAGAGAGCAATTTTGAAGGACACGTTGTATGATTGGATAGCGAAGCGCAATGTTACTGTGGACCGTGATTCGCATGGAAGTGAACCTTGGTCAGTTTGATGATTAAGGCGGTATCTGATGAAGCTGAAGGCAGTGCGTATGTCAGAGTATCATTTCAAGTAACAGAGTGGAGTGATCTCTGCTAATCTGATCCACGCGATATTGACTACTAACTCTGGTGTAATGACACTGGTAAACTGATATCCACTAATCAACCTGAAACTGTCTGTGAAACGTTACACATCAATTTTGATAACCACGTATTTCAAATGTTCCATAATTGCCAGTCTTGATTTGACTGTAACTTAATTGCAAAAATGTGAAGCTCTCTTCATGTGTAAAAACTGTTACTGGAGATTAGAACCTATGAAGGTTAATCTTTAATCAATCGCATGGGAGTCTGGAATCCATCCGAGCTCACATGGTTGTTGCAGTCTCTCACTATACTCAATATGGCGACAGCTGTAACAGGTCCGTCGGGGAAATTCATTGCCTGAATTAATTCATCAAGTTTAAAGAACATTCTGACAGTGCTAACTTGTACTGACCGAACAATTTCCGTTCACTATCAGGCCAAATGAGCCCAACTATATTTTACTAGGCCTGACGGTAAGACGTTGAAGACCAGCTAGATTTCTGCGTGAGTGTTATTGTGATCAGGAAGCCCTAACTCACAGTTTGTAGTGGCAGCCTTGAACCCGCGTGATTCTGCCGTTTATTATAATGGTGAACTCTCTGTTGACTTTTGCTATACCAACGAACTACAACGGGCAGTCTTGGTAGTACGCGAATGGTTATCTAGCCCAAACAGGTAGAGGTAGGGATGCTAAAAGCGGAGACCCACCCATTGTAACAGACTGCCATCGGGGTTTCCACTCTAGGTGGAATGGTATTCGCCAGGTCAGCCGAAATGGAGTCGAGGTTCCTCCAATGATCCTCCTTTTCATCCAATTGAAAATAATGAATATCATCGTTGATATCCCAATGCGTATGCGAGGCGAATGTGGCGTCTCTGATACATTATTATGTTTTCAGCCGTCAGCAGTAAATCAGCACCGGACTAGTAAAAGCACAGCTTAGTTGAGCCCAATCATTTAAATTTATGGATGGAATAAATGTAATTCTGTTGGAAGTTTCTGGACCTATCTTCCTCTTGAATCATTTCATCTCACACTACTAGGTCTACAGTTGAGAAGGGTACATCACTTTGATTTGGTTCATTGTTGGCTTATTCCTTAAGGAACGGCTACAAGACAGACTTTGAATGATAAAATGAGATGCACCAAAAAATGGTACGTCAGGCCGTGTCTATCTGGGGCGGATTATTGCCTGTGATCTTTCTTTACCTTAAAACACTCATTTTTGATGCTGAGTTATCGTGATTTATTAGTATGCGAGAAGAAGATACTCCACCCGGAAGGTTTCTGTAAGGCACATGTAGTTGCTTTTTATTTTTAACTTTCGAATTATGAGGTTAACCATGTACGTTATAAATTAGACATAGTGTATGAGCTTGAGCAATAAATTTGGTGAAAATATTTTAGGGATGCGACATCGGCGCACGTGCTCATGATTATATCAGCTGATTTAAACCGTAAGAAAAGATATTGGAGGGCGAAACCAAACTTCCGACTCCACGCGGATAAAGCTCTGGCAGTTTACTGATTGGGAGTCAAGTAGAAACCCAACATCTACTTTCTGCCCCAAGTGGAATAGATCATTCAGATTTGACAGCCTTAGAGTCGTCTTACTACTTTTGGAATCCACAGTAGAGAACAGGCAAGAATGTTTGAAGCATCAGTTCAACCTTTCGTCTTGACCGCAGTTCGGTAAGAGTAAAATAGACCACATAGTGTAGCTGAATGAAGTGTCAACCTCGAGTTCGCAAGTCAAGGAATGCTGCCCCAAATTCAGCTGCTTAACCCCTGCTGTCCCACACTACCAGTAGTTAAAATCGATGCGGCCACACAATGACCTACCCAAAGTGCATGGTATGTTTTACGTCAAGCTTGAGAGAAAAAACACAAGCTGATTTAAATCGGTATTAGTTGTACTCTCCAGACAGGCTTTTATGTCTATTATTATGTGAACTCCATGAAGTGCCACCGGATACTCAGTCAGATTTGTTCATTTTCCTGTTTTTCATTCTAAAATCCACACGTTTCTCGTTCGTCCCGACCCATAAAGTCATACTAACTGTATCCGTAATAAATCAATAGTGACTTTGCTTTCTCAAACTTGTTCCCTGTTGCAGCTAATCGACAAGTAAGGTATTCCGTGGACGACGCCCTTACAGCCAGCGCTGTTCCTCCTGGCGACAAGGTGCACCCAAATGAAACGATTCTTTTCGGACAAAAATCACCCGAATCAGAATTACGTTTGGAACTGGTAAATAGCCTGGTTAAAACATGCTACCCGGGTTCCTTCAGATCATTTCGGCAACCATACTACACATTTGGTTATCATGGAGTACGAATAACTGCAAGTTCAACACGGAATTTTGAATTGGATAGCAACATCACCAGGTCATCTTATAATAGGCCAAATATATGTGACAGTCCTATTCGGAAGAGACAATCATCTGGCGAAATTATATCAAGCGGATCATTATTTGATCGTGACATCGAGTATAATATCTATCGATCGAAACATCTTCAGTGCCCTGTTGCAAAATCAAGAATGCGATACGTGAAGGTTGTACGTGGCGCCGTGAGTGTGCCGGATCTCTCCAAAGTACCGATACGAAGTGCACTCAAAGGCGGTCGGAATCCAAGGTAATGTGATCCATTAATGCAAGTAAATTGCTAGGTAGCTACTCAATACAGCGGATTAGAAACAGCTAAGGATGAGAAGCAACCTTTCACTTTATCTAACCTACTCCATTGACTGGAATACACATAGTACTTGGAGCCGAGTTAGTTACAGCATGTGTGGATAAAGGACTATATCGAGTTGCTTTTGTTTCTATGTTTAGACTAGGCAAACCGGTACTGTTATGAAGCACAACTTGCTATCAGCCGGAACAATATTTTACGGTATTTCCAAAAAAGAAACTAAGGCAATAAAGACCAACTAACAATGAGTATACTGATTTGTAGATGACTGCGTAGATAGTTGCACAGATAAGCACGATAGAACGGTGACTTTCTGATTAAAGGAACATGAGACATATCCGGCGCGAACTTGGTCGGTTTCCCTGTCCCCCAGCCTCCGTGCTCCCCTAGATGGCAGGCCTCCATCCGTTAACATCTACCAGTCGCAGGTCACTGGATGGGGTTCGGTTAGTCGTTCCACTCGTATGGTGTTATGTTCAGCACCGCCTGCTTCATTTTCTGGAGCCTTTCAAAAGCAAGTATCTGTCAACCCTAGTTTGCTATAGGCATAGCGGCCGGACTTTCATTATTCATTTCGTATCTCAAGCCTGATTCTTTGCACCCTCATATATAAGTCGCGCCCCCAAAATAACTTTGAAAACAATGCACCAGGATTAAAAAAAGAATAGCCGATAAACGGCAAATGAAGACTTAAACACACTCCGTTTGAAATGGTACTAGTCTGCAAGTACAATAAAAATCCCATCATCTATACCATTGATACACTTTGCAGAAGAGTTGAAAACCTTAGACTTTATAGCATCAAACGGTCGGCTGCAGGTTTTTATCAAAAGGAGCAACCGTGTATTTGGCAAGCAATTCGACGAACGTGGTGACTCATATATGTGCTCTGCATCACACTGGACTTCAAAATTGCCCAAAATATGTTCTGGTTGCGCAACACAATATATCTTAAATTTTGTGGAAACTGGGTTCTTATTCAAAGAGACGTTAAACAAAACCTTTTTGTCAGACAAGAAAAATATGCAAGTGGAAAAAGCAGTAGCGAGTGAAACCCAGTTGTACTATGTACTAAGATGCCGGGCAATGCGAACCGAACTTAGTGATTGGAAAGTCAGGCAACCCTCGAACTTGTAACATCCTCAACGTGAGAAAAGCTACCGGTAGTTTACAATGAGAATAAAATGGTGTGGATGAATGAAGTCATTTTTGAAGATTGGCTTAAAAGCTTTGAGAGAAACATGAAGCAAAATAGCTCGACAGCATTGTTGGTCGACAGTGCCAGTTGCCATCTCAGAATTCAGGTAAAAATGTCACACTGCAGTTCCTGTCATCTAAAACCCATGCGTTATTTCAACCACTGCATCAGGGTGTCATTAAGGTACTTTTATTAAATTTTAGAAAACAATAGCTTTGACATACTAGTACGATCACATAAAGAGATGTCAAGAAATGAGCTCATGAAACAACTAATTTTACTGGACGTCGTGTGCTGAATCGCTGTCGCATGAAAGGGGTGGAGAACCCAACATTCTTTAAGCGTTTTTGGCAAGCATGTTTTCCTTGTCCTGCAGATACAGATTCCGATACAGCAATACATACTGGCAGACTAGTAAACTGTAGCGCTTGCAAACCCGACTGCGTTGGATGATCATTCAAACGAATTGTTTGGATGCCCTATGGTTGGTTCTAATCTCAAAAGTTGTAACACAACAGAAATACACTGGGACATTCCTGCCACTTCGATTTTAGCAGCTGAGAAGGTGAATATTGAATCGAACGACGAGCAAGAACAAAATTATACAGACGTGATGACGACGTATACATTTACAGACACGCAATGTTTCGTTGATGTTTAGCGCCTCTATGCAATCGATACGGGACACAGGGACATGCTTGGAATTATCATGAACGTAAGGGAAAGCCTAAATAAACCTTTTGTTTCAAATGCTAAGCAACAGACTTCTGCACTTGGTTTTTCATTTGGGGTAGATGATACGGACAACAGAAAGTGTGTGTGTGTGTGTGTGTGTACATTAGGTTTCTAAAACTTGTGGATTGCGTTGAGTTACAGGTCAGACTATTAAAAGGTCTACCCATTAACTTTGACTTTATTACATTTTTATTACTCCTATATCACACAGTATACGGGACTATTGTTATTCCTTTAATTATAAGACTAAACTGAATATGGAAACTGCCTACTTGCAGATTTAGCATTTGAAAGTGCAGCACGAGTATGAACTGGATGATACGTAGTGTTCCCCATGTGTGAACCTATCCAGTGGGCCACCTGTCCAACGGGACCACTTTTTGTCGGTCCCTTGAGTAGTCACCTTATGCAGATTTGACTGTACATATAACTCATTTCTAATAGTACTGAAGAGAGTATGAAATGCATTCACCAAACAGCTGCGATCCTTTTACCATGATTTTAGGGCCAAATTGACTAATTGCCGGATAATCTGCGATCTTCCACAATTCGGAAGGCAAACGTCGGTAGCAAACCTAACCAAAATGCACTGCATAGCTTGGAAAGAGAAGTTTGGAAATAACAGTAAAGCGTTACACTTGGGGGTAGTAGTAGGGTGGATAATAGTCTAATAATTAGTAAGAGCGTAAACCTTCTGCAAATCAGTGGTCGCACACACCATACCATGACTGTTGTATCCCGTGTATGTTGCTGAAGTGCGGGAGAAAGCCCTCATGCATGCAGAGAAGAAGCGGCAAGTGCGGAAGCGGCAAGCACCGATGGGTTGTACTCCATCGACATCGAGCGCATGGTGCTGTAGAACATGCAATCGCGAGTGCCTTAGTCAAGCAGGCTTAGTGAGCCATGAGCGAGGCCACTCGGGACTACTACCGAAGTGACGACGGGTTCTGCAGAGAACATAGGCAGCACCGGCGCTGCGTTTGTAGGTATGCTGCATCCGATTTACTAACCGCATGCTTGCATGCTAAGTCTCTTTATTTCAGGTGGTGGGTGTTCAATTTTGCCTTAATGCTTTTCTTCCTCATATAAAGGTCTACCTGTACTCTATTCCATTAACTTGCACACCTAGCTTACGCCAACTGTATTCGATTTCCATAACGGTTTTGTTTTCGTGGCATTCCGTAAAGTATACTTTCTGACCTCGTGAACTTATCTAGGATTCGTCTGTAAACAACTTATTTCATATGCTTATTAACCTAAGGCTTATGTCACCGTTTCCTTATGCTTTAATTGAGTTATTTTCTTCGTTTCTCTCTCTCTCTCTCAAAAGATTGGCTGTTGTTTGATATCCCGGTGTGGCTGCGCTTGATGTGCATGTTGACAAGGTGCCTACCTGTCTATAACCCACTACCTCGTCCATACTAGCTCCAGGAGACAGTTGGTCGTTGCTGGAGGGGACGGGGTGCCCGGTCCTTGTGGCCGTGTTAGGATCAAAGAGTGGTTCCATGCACTCAGTGTGGAGCGGACCATTGTCCAGCCACCGCCTTGTGTGCGATTGATTCCCAAATACAGTGTGCTTGTGTTTACCTGTGAAGGAGTGTGGGCCGGCTCCGTTGATGAAACGTGGTTCCCATCCGCATGCCTCCCGGTCTTATTCCTTCGGGTTTACACTGGATATGGGGTGTGTGGATGGAGCTGTGGGTGGTGCAGAGCAAGCTATCCATGATCCCTCTGTAGGCGCAGGCGTCCTGTGGCTGGCCACAGTGACAGGCAAATCCGAAACCGGATGCCGCCAATCATATGTTTGAATCGTTGTAAAGAATGGTGTCTTTGATGTGTCGATGTGACTGCTTTTTGTTTTGAATACCATGTAAGAAGGGTCTGTCATAGACAAGATCTCCCAATTAGTCAACCCGAGTGTTGCCACCGGGCTCAAATAAAAGCTGCAGATGGAAATTGGGCGTTGCCCGTCCGAAAACACTGCAAACCCACGACGTGATTCGATGTAATTTCATCTAATCAGCTGGAGATAGCAGGCCTTGAACCCGCTCCCGTTGGGATAGTAGCCAAAACCTCTACCAATGGCTACCGGATCCCGGTGGACAAGGCTTGGCACAACGGCAAATGACTAATTGGTGAGTCAATTGTAGACGACACGTTGTGTGATTGGATTGCGACGCGCAACCTCAATGTGGACTGTGGTTCACCACGGTCCATTACATAGAGATTGCGCGTCGCAATCCAATCACACAACGTGTAGTCCACAATTGACCCACCAAATTGCCATTTACCGTCGTGTCAAGTCTTGTCCTCCATAACCCGGTAGCCAAAGGGGTAGAGGTTTTCGCTATTATCCCAATGGTCGCGGGTTCGAGACCGGTTATCTCCACTGATTAGATGAAATTACATCGAAGCACGTCGTGGTTTTGCAGAGGTTTCCACAAGCTACAGAGCTTTGAAGCCGAATGAGCCTAGCGTGTACTCAATCATGTGGTGGTACTTCCGAAAATGTGCACAGATCACTGAGGATTGCTAATGTTACAGTGCATTGAGCTCCGATCCATCCTGGGTTCCAATATGTGAATGCAAGGATAGCATGTGGTTACGCATTGCTGTGTCTGTCTATTACTCAGTTACATGGACCTTTGGACACAAGTGCAGTGCTGTATTAGATGGACACTTACAACCTAACGTCCTATCAATAAAGCTTTCAAAAGAATTAAGCTATATCCCGCAGAGAACAAACAAGGGCAGGTATCTTGGTTTGTATCGGTAGTTTGGGTATCCCGGCTAGCTGTTAAAACCACCCCAATGCCACCGTGCCAAACAGAAGAAAATCGTCGTGATTACCGACGAGGCGAAATGTAACGGTGCTGCTTTATGCATTTTATTGTAAAGGATAATGTAAACGTGTTTGAGAATTCAGTACGATACAGTTGAACCAAACATTCAAAGCTAGATCTCTGCGCTTGGTTGGAGAAAGATGCGTCTTTGCCACCGATGGTTGGGCAAGTTTGTGGAAAAGCACTCTCTTCTCAGGACCAAGTCAAGTTTATACCTATACGTCTACTTACTGCGAATTATTTTCAAATTTGGACCACATCATTAGTCCCTAAGTGGTTTAGGGTATTTCAAAATACTCCCTATGTTTTTTATAGACACGCCAGTCTCACACGGGGAGACAACTCAGTAATACCCGAGATGCCCTGCCTCGAAGAGAGCCCAGATTGTCCAACCTCCTTAACATTCACACTGTCAACACCGCAACAACTTTCCCCCATGGCCTCTTTCTCGGATCCGGGGAATTTCGGAATTGATAATTTGTCTCCGGTAACAAGCGATGGTATTGGTTCCGCACCTGCTTCACACCCAGATGTCTGTTCCATGCCATTCTTCTTTACCGCACCTAAAAAATCTCCTGGTAGCCCAGTACTGACATCGGGAAACGCCGAGCACAGACCATCGCGGAACAAGTGTATAGTTACAGTGCACGACTCAGAAGAGCAAAACGTTGATTCGCTGCTTGCAGACGCACAAGAGGAAGAAGTAGAAGATATAATCCATAGCCCTGGGCAAGATGAGCACAGCTTCTTGGAACCTTTTCAGACGAATTTGGCAATGAATCAATTGGACAGTCCATTTGATGATGAAGGAGTCAGTTGCGACTGGACTCCGCGGCTCCACTCCATCGTAAGTTTTTTCTTAAATTTTTTTTAAATTTGTCTCCCTCTTTTCTTCCATCTGACAACCGTGACGATAGTTGCCCACTACTTGCGTAACCTGGCCGCCGCAACTGCTGGGGCCAAAGTAATAGGCTGTGAGTTTCTAGACGATCGGCGTACCAACTTCATCTGGAAACGTTTGTAACGCGTCGTAAAAGCTTGAATTTTCTAGTACTGGTAATGGATCTAGATGAAGTACATATACATTGTTTCTAGTGGACTGATATTAAGACTCACTGGAACAGGTTTTGCAAGCGGCACTGATCAATTTTGTTCCTCAAGGTTCTGTTGCTGTGAAGTATGTATCATATTCGATTATGCTGCTTTTCGCTGAACAATCTTAGCAACTGCATAACAACACAGGTACGTTTCACCTAGTAGCAACGTTTTAAGCGAAGGTTTGTAATAGTAACTTACAACGAAAGAGGCATTTGATCTACAAAAATAAATTCTCCCTCATTAGTTAATGCTGGGGACACATTACGTACGGTTGCAAGGTCGCCGGCGTTTAGTGTCCCTTTATTTAAAGCACATGGTGACTCCAGCCGTAGAAGATGAGCCTGCTGGTCGTTAGCGATCCATTAAACCTGCACTGATTTGATTGCAGCCCAGCAAAATGACTATTTGGACTCAGGTTACATCAACACAAGCTGCGTGCTGACTCAACGCGAGAGCACATGCCTATGCATGTGGGTGGCGAGCACGTCAAGGGTGAATCACCATAGATATATCACCACTGGCTACCCTGTTTCACTAACCATGGCGTACAGAGTAACAGACCTCGCAAGAGGCGGCATATCGAAACCGCATTATGCTGGGCTTGGAGGATGAACGTGTGCATAACTTGCTGGAATGAAAGAAAGGGAACCGTCATCTATATTCGTGAATTACTTGGGGAGGATTTGCACTGGTATGTGAAACGTTAAGCGTAAGAGTGCTCCACGACTGAACCACTAGATCATACTCCTTGGAAGTCTAGTCTCACGCTCACTCTAACCCCCGACCAATGCGATTCAAAACAGCCAGTCTTATGACTGCGGTAGTTAAACGCTGAATTCTAGAATGAATTGGCTCTGCAAAAAGCTTAGCTTCACCACTGAAATGGGTCAAATTGCAATTTCATTCTGGGACGCTCTCATGAATACAGAGCGTGGGCACCGTATTTTGTTGCGTAGACCTATGTCTTTCTTTGTGAACGGAGTGCCTACTCCATAAGATGCTTCGAAAACACCATTAAATACCAGGACATAGTATCAATTATAAAACAACTTTCCTACAAATAAAGTGTAATTTATCTCTTCCATGGAGTCCACACGAACAATGACGAAAACGGGCGCACATGAAGTGCAATGCAACGAAAGTATCCTATGAAGGTCAAAACCGTATACTTTGCTGGATTTAGTTACAAACTGAAGGTTATGAGTTTGTATTGAGACCAGGTGGCACCAACTTTATTCTACTACCTATGACAACCCGAGATAAATAATTGTTCCATCCACACGTGCGTGCACTTCAACAGGCAAAGATGAAAGCGGAACATACTCTTTCAGACTGGTTAATTTGATCCGATGGAGGGAGCCGTTTGAGATGGTCTTCACAGTTACAATGACGATAAAGCGGATTATCTACTGGGTCTGTCGCGCCCGGCCTGATGTGTTGTACACTGTACTGCTTCCTGCTAAAGTTTTCTGAAGATCTAAAGGTATGGCGTGCTATAGCTGCAGTGGGAGACCACACAGTTTTACAGAAGCACCTGGACAAAGCGTACACATAGTTCCTCGAGAACATGCTGCATTTCAACGTCACTAACTTCAAAGTTCTCAGCATACGGTACAAGAGTACGCACAACTACGGAGTAGGACCCCATATTCTACAGCGGGCTTCTCACGAGTGCGATCTCGGCGTGCTGGTTTAAAATAACCTCGACTATTTGAGGCAGACTGAAAAGTCATCTAAGAAAGCCAACCAGTACCTCGGCCTTCTTCGCCAAGCTTTCGGGATTTTTGACCCTACAGTCTTTCCAAAAATGCTTAGTGCGCACGTGAGGCCACACGCGGAAGACGCTATTCAAGCGTGGCAACCCTGGCTCAACCACCATCTCACCGCGCTCGATACTGCACAACGTAGGGCAACGAAGTGTGTCAATCAGCTTACCCTACCCAAGTAGGCTGAAGACACTCAAACTATACGGTGGACGTTATCGGCGTCTAAGAGGTGATCTCCTAATGGTGTACCAGATCTTGAGAAACCCCAAACCCCCATGTCATTCCACCCTGATACACAGTCAAAACATCCCGCTAAGAGGTCATCAGTTTAAGCTGGTCACGCAGCACAGCCGACTGGAATGTCGGCGAAACGTTTTCTCCCTTCGAGTGTCACAGCCTTGGACCGCGCTCCCTGAACATGTAATTAATGCTTCCACCATATCCCTTTTCAAGAACTCCTTGACGGCACTCTGTCACATCTACACTGCGTTCTATAGCCCATGGCACCAGATGCTGGTACTAATGCACAACAGACAGTGGACGGTGCCATAACCCTACTCGAGAATGAGTCACTCCAAACCCCTTGCATAGAATTTGATAAACGCTACTACTGTAGAAACTGGACTTCTGTATCCCATCGACCTGAGATAGCTGCACACGATTAAGCGCTGTCCTTGCTATTTTTAATTTTTTCTCGCTTATTACATGACAATAATCACTCTCTTTATTGCTTTTTGAGTGCACATTCTAATTTTAAACTCCCTTTAGACGGCAGCACAGTTAAATCTGCAATCTCCAGAATCGACGATCCTATTATCCCTTGCTTTATTTTTTCCAACTCCAACCACCCCACGGGACTTGGCAAGCACCTACATTTTTACCCGTTAATTCATTTTTCATTGTTCGTTCCCAGCTGCGCTAGCTAGTTACATACAAGACCAATCTTCGTCAGCTAGTACACGAATCTTCTATTTCGGTCCTTCTTAAATGTGGATCTCCGTTCATACTTCATGCCGAGTCCTAACTGCTCTATCAATGTATATCTCTTTGTTAGTCGGTTGCATTATTGTTACACATTACCTAAGTCCACCGGCCATTTGGGGGCGGAGACGGACCGTTAAGACATCAACTCTCAATACCGATATCATAACCACATTCTTCAATGTGGTAGTGAATGCACTCGCCCTGGAAATTTGTGGCCGGTTTCCAATACCAATTTACGGTTGGGAAGCAATTTAGAAACTGCAGAACACTTAAAAACTCAGTGAGCTCGAGCCAGCGTTGCCTTGAATAAAGCAGTCCCTACAGTTTAGGTTTTTATCATTAAGTATTAGACAAACGCACTTCAAAATGAACGTGTATTAGTGATTGTTATTCATGCTGTTAGCCCTGAGCTTCCGGTGGGACAGTATGGGCGTAATGGGTGAATGGTAATAGGTAAAGGAATGTACAGAGAAGGAAAAGCTGATTGCCCTCGGAGGAAATAGGTCATAGAGGATGCTACTCAACCGTTTCTGTTGCATGAGTGGCAGTCAGCGTGAACCGGGGCAATCATTATACCGCCGGGGAGTCTTACTCAGGCCAAATGACGAAGCGCCTGGTGTGATACCTCAGTTTGGGTAGCAGTTCAATTGTTACACCGCCTCAGCCTTCTTTTCACTAAAAGAATTGCGTTGAAAATTGCGCAGTCGATCCGAACTTACCACTTGGTATCGATTCCCATAGTGTTGTATAAGTGCACAACGACCCTATTTTCAACAGTCGGGATTAGATGACACGATCCTGTGTGCATAAGTCTAAGTCCGTTTAGAGCACTAAAGTGAAATGATTACACCAGTCAGATATTGGTAGAGAAAGACCTTAGTATCATTCTCGACAACAGCGGACGAATTGGTCTGGAGGAAACCACAGGGATAAGGGCAATTATCGTGGTATAATCTACTGACCAGAAGAAAGTTGAAAACCGGTCCGACGGACAAGCTGTGGATCTATGCTGCAATGTGAGAACCGAATCTACGTCTATCAACCGCAGTGTTAGAGTCCAACACATAGGCGGCCAACAACAGCTAATTCCCCAGTTTGGAGGAAAAATTGACACTCCTGATCGCTCTGTCATATTAGGCAGGCTTTCGGGATAGACTTTTGATTGATTATCCGGCATGCGCCATTTTGTAAAGCCTTTGTTTCGGGGTATCGCGGTTTAGCATAAGATGTAGAAATGAGTTATACTGCTAAGTGGCACTCAAGACTCAGCCAATGTCTACAATAGCTATTCCCTGCAGCATTACAGTCGCTCGAGGGAATTGCGCATAAACCCAAGGCATGGTGTAGATGTCCAGGGCACTCGCTGTCTCTGTGCATGTCTAGTTTTGTTAAGGAATCTAATATAAGACATGAGAAGTGTGTGAAAAAAGTCCGCTTTTCCTTAGCTACTAACTGGTATGCTTAAGGTGTATGGTGCCTAAGAAAGGGTTGTTTCTCCTATTTCGGGTGTCTGAAGCCTGTATAGCCTTCAGAATGTGATTTTGTGTGTTTATCCGTCTATGAACGTTGCAAGCTGAGGGACCGTGTACGTCTGCTTAGTGTCTGCATTGCAAGCGGAAAATCGGGGTCTTTCAAACCTTTGTTCACATCCGAGCTGTTCTGTCACTCTACCCTGTTCGACCTCACAAATCTAGACTGCCAGAACCTGGTGATGATGATGTCACATGAGATGGTATGAGTTAGCGGCGTCCGTCTTCTGATGAATCTTAAGGTATCTTCAACTGCGCATCTCGGTAATCTCTCATCAAATATCTATGTAGATCAAAATTCCGAGGTGGGACCAGTGCTGATGGGCAATGAGCAGTCAAGAGCAAGTTACCAAGCGACGTCAGCCATGTCGTTTGTAATTTATCCTGCACGATGTAACCAGAGTAATGAGTGTAAGGGTGAAAGTGGAGTTGGATATCAGTTTCTTGAAACTGCTACCGTGCCAACGCCTTCGCTCAAAGGGCTTGGATATGTATGACTGGTGAAGGTGTTTTTACTGGATTGCATTCCGTTTACCAAGTGGAACGAGTGCTAACTTACTTCGGTTGTACACCCAACTGTCACTACCAGTGTCCAGGGCACCCTGGCTACACTAACCAAGCGCATAGTGCGCGGCTCTGGTTCACGTTTCTGAACGCCTAGCCTTAGCAGTTCGAGCCTCCTCGCAAATGGATGCAGCTATTTTTAATCAATGGTAGTAAGTCCTACCCTGCGAAAGAAAAGTAATATCTTGTTGAGTATTTCCGCCAGTTTCCGAACACAGTAATCCAGTTGCGGCTGACGTACCTGCTGCCGAGCGGCCAGTGCAACTGAGGTGCCATGACTAACTAGGATCGAGAGCGTTCAGTGAAAAGGAAATCAACAAACTCGAGAATACAGTACACAGACAAGTCATTATTTGTTATGTTTAATTGAGTCATGGGAAGTCCGCCCTACCAGTTTGCTTATAAATGTAACTGAGATAAACCAAGAGCACTAGAAAGTACGAAGAAAGCAATCGTTTCAGCTGTGCGGCCCAATCTGGTGAGAATCGTAATCAGAAGGTAGCACGATTTCCTTCGTTTAATTCCCAACTGGACAAATAATAGTAAGATTTGACGTCCACTGTACGAGTATAGCAAAAACATGCCCCATTGAAATACCGTACGTCGTGTGTTTGTGTATTGCCCTCATCGAATTGTTGTGGTCGAGGCAAACTTATGAGATTCCGTCTGTGACGCAGTTTATGTGGTACTTCTTACCGTCTATGACAATGAGGTGGGGCGGCTACAGTGTCAAAATGAGCGACCGGAGTGGAAGATATCAATATCAGACGTGGATCAGATTCCAGGTGGAATTGTCCCATCACTTCGTTGTCTGGAATTGGGGCACCCATCATGTTTATTGGATCGCGACATGCAATCTCAATTATGACTTAGATTAACTTTTAACTCAGCCTTTACCTTTCAAATCACTAGGACTGTATCCGAAGTGGAGGAATTTGGTGTACCATCAGTTCTATGGCAACCATCTAGCTCCTTTAACTAGCTCTTTCAATTCGCTCTTTGCTTACTTACTATTGAGTATGTATCCAACGTATAAGTTGTGGTTTTGTAGAAATTATTGATGGTATGGACCTAGTTACCCCCGTTACTAAATAGATGGCCCGATGTCCCCTCACCATCTGCGCTCAGATGAGCTCGAACTCCTCCCCACATCATTCATTTGCACTTCTATTCGAATGCTGTTATTTTTGTGTGCTTGTTAAAGATGACCACACAAGTAATGCTTCAGTTGTGCAATTTCTCTCATGGGGCACAAACAAATGTGCATCCTTTCAGTAGCAACTCTCACCAATCGGCTAATCACATGGTGTATTCTGTGGTGACATAACCGATTGCGCTGAGTTCCACAAAGTTTGAAAACATGAGGTCCCGCATGGGAGTTGGATAGTTATTTAACTAATGTATACCATTATCTGTAATTACATTTAGCCTGAAGAGTTTTCACTAACTGGATCATCCTTTAAGTCAGCGCAGCTGAGTGAAATGTGTTCTCGATTTGCCCCATTCAGCCACTACGTCGGGACAGTCTTGGCCCATTATTAGACCAAGAAGAAGACCTACTCAACCCTTCAAGAGAATGGAAAGAAAACCTTGCTCTGCCGCATCCGTCCAAATACCGATCCAACTACGAGAGCTGTGCATACCCGGAGGAAACCGATGATGCCAACCCAGTTAGTCAAAGTGCCGAGGTTCCCATCATTGAGGCCTTACCGCCAGTTTTGTGCGCTGCTGGCTACGGGCCAGTTGGACAATTCCTTGAAAAGTGGTTACCACACAAGATATTTCGGGAATACTTATTGCGCACAGATGAATCGACAGGTACGGATTCAGCATCTGGATCACGTTTCTCAGGTCGTAAATTGCTTAATCCGTCGCGTTAAAGAGAAAGCAAGAGTACATGGTTGCGTGCAGTAAACTTACGGCTTACAATTTGGCAGCGTAACTGAGTGCTTCAACTACTACGCAACTGATATGCACAACGCTAAAGCTTTAGTCCATGTGTTTCATCTCTAGTGCGAATTAACGTTGGCTAGAATAATTATAGATCCGAATGGGTTCACTTTTGAGACTACGATGGCCTCCGTTTGGAAAAAGCCGGCACCAGCATGCGTCAAGATTATTATATTCATCTTTGCTCAATCTATTCTATGCTTCTAACGTAAATTAATAAATTATAGGGCATAAAGTTATGGCTCCAGATTAATCTACAAGTTAACTGAGAGTAGAGGATTGCTAGGCACCCTGAGTGGTCGCTGTTTCCGATGACAAGCTATTTGTTGGCTTGACTTTCAACAAATACGCAAAAAATGATTTTAGACCTTTCGACGATAATCCGTTACCTTTTAGTTCAATAAGGTCGTTTGCTGTTATGCTCATAGTTCTACACCGCACTAACTTGGAACTATGAGTGAAGCCTTATCACTACAGTTGACATCGAGCGTTCGGTACTGAGAAAAGTGGGCTCAAATCAACAGGAAATTGCGGTGGTCGTTGATCACAAAGATAATGATGCGTTCTACTCACGTCCATTTGAAGTCAAGAATGCTTCGTGTGCAACCAGGAAGGGTAAAAATTCAGTTGTGACAACCATACCACAAAAAGGCAATAAAGAAGTACAGTGCGTGCAAAGCAATAAAACAGTTGCAAAACATACCTTAAAGTCTACGCTCAAAATCGCCGGTAAAACAGTAGTTATTTTTTGGATGCTAGCGTTGGGGCTAAGCAGAATGATAGCTAGATACGAAATGACCGATGAACCATAGCCTCGCGTGCTGAACCTGTATATGAGTGTTGATTATCTTGTGAATAGGTACAAAAGCAGAAGGCCAGGAACTAATATAAATAATAATATTGTACACGTGGTAATGAGATATACAATAGAGTGAGACTTATCGCATGTGCTTGCATGATAGCTGTGCGTCCCATTAATTGCAGTGCGTTGCAACTGGATGCGTCGGGCCTTGAGCATGTGGACGGAAATGCACACGTACGTTGTCCGGTCGTTCCAGTGATGTTGTGTTGTTGCATCGTGCTGCGACAGGCTTAGCAGAGTGAATGCGAGATACAGTGCATTCCCGACTGTCTGTGATGGTCAGGTGCTTCGACGCGGGCGTGGTAACGGACAGAGGTCAAAATGCTGTTTTGATGTGGCGTGTATACCACGTGTTGTATACCACGTGGCGTGTGATTAGGCTTTGCCAAGTGGATTTAGTGGAAAGTGTAGTTCCACAAACATGAGTGTTTTGAGATTTGCAAAGGGACCTAAATTGTACATTCTCAATGTCAAGGAAATGTATATACGGTCAGATAATGCAAGGTGCACCTAGCTGGCGTTCGCAAATACTTTCCCAGCAAGCATTACCAAGGTTTCAACGTATGTAAATGCAGCAGTTTGAGCTAACTCTGGTTTTGGAGTCCTATCGTGGCGTGAAGGATGATTCGGTGACTTATCAAGCTGTTTGAGTTACCTATTCATTAGGTCTTAAAAGTCGAAATTGAGAAATAAGTCTAGTGTGACAAAATACACGCAGTGTTGAACCACGTAATCAAACCGTAGAAGACAGGGGATGACAACAGGCGAGAGGTGAAGATTTCATCCACATGAAGTACGACAAGCCTTGTCCATTATGATGGCAGGCTATTTCACTGACGCGGAGAAGTCTAAGTCGTCACCATCGATGACAGTCAGCGATCCGTTGTTGGACAACGAACTGCTTTAAGCAGTGCGGACAGAACGTCGCTGCACTCAGCATCAAGCATCGGACACTTGACCAGTGTACAAGTCTACCCAGACAACTTTGTATTTCTATCGGAGATCGTGGTTAGACAATTCACTCAGTCATTCGGTTGCTTCAACAAAAAGCAAACTCTGCTTGGTGACTACGCAAATTAAATAAAGTAATCCGAATCCCTAAATTAGTTATCTGGTGCCTTGCTTGCTCATGTGCAGAAGGATAAGATTATTCACCGGTGACATATCCTAGATGTACCATTCCCATAGTAAGAAACCGGCGAACACATGCTCTGCGTGTGATAGAAGGTAACGAAAGATTCCGTTTGCAGGGCGGAATCACCATACTGCGAAAAACTGCCTGGGCGCAAACCGCGTATATGAATAGCCTCAAAGTACTCAGGTTACGTTGCTGTTGTGTCTAATACCATATCAGAAAAACACTATCAAAAATACTAATGTTATGTTTATTGATTGGAAAAAGAGTGCTATTCCGAGATCATACTCTGACTTAGGGGTAAGAAAGATAGGTAAAGTTTACTGCTATGGTGTGAATTCGAAGTTGCCCAGCACACGTACACAAATAGATACTGAATCAGACCGAGATGAACAACAGAGCGGCCAAGTGAATCCGACTTTCTCCAGTTCCTGCTATTATGTAGAACTTACAGCTCACCAGTTAATTATAAAGTGAAAACATTTGGCAGTGAAATTGAGCCACATGTAGGTTCAGCTCAAAAGCGCCTTTCTTTTCATGGACTCGATATCAGGAAATAAGCCACTGAGAGTGATTAGTCAATAGGTCTCCTGAACTGCATGAATACATTTTCTTTTATCTAATGTTGACCCATCTGCATAGAAGCTCAGCAAATGTGGCCACCCAAGCAAGCGATTTGAGCTAACTCGAGACGTGATTCTATGTTGCACCCGTGATTTTGGCAACGGCTAAGGTAATAGTTTGGTTGGGCTTGTATCAATGTGAATTCCATATTCAGCACAACAATCTTGAATTTATCCTTTTACCCTTTATATTTTCAGATGTGTCAAGTGAAGTGTTATGGCAAAGACGGAAGTGTTTATTTTACGAGTTGGCAAAGACTGTGAGTTGGACAGTTATTGCAGATATTGCTTCCACCGTTCTACAAGCTGTCTGCGTTTCAACCAGTTCTTGATGATGATTTCATAGTTGGGCAGTAATCGGTGTGGCACCCTAGAGCCAACGCTTGCGAACAGTGGTGGCACTCTCACTAAAAGTAATATCCTTCTCTTACCTAAGTCTTGTTTGCATAGTTGCAGTGCCAAGGAAACGGGAGTGTTCTGAAAAGCCGGCCGGGTGTGGTTGTCGTACAAGTTTCGGGGACAATATATTCGCACTAGCGTATCATATGAGGAGAACTCTGTCATGTCCGACAGGATAGGATGATTTGTATCTATACCAACCAATGTTTCTCCGGTAGAATCGAAAGACTAAACGGTGGCACCGGTCGGACATAAACTATGGTGAGAACATCCCTAGCTATCTTGTAGACATGACGCGCTTCTACAACTACAGTTTATGCAACAACTTGTGACCTGCATATGCCACATGTGATGTGAGTTCGGATACTTGCATACCGGCGCCCGTCAGCCCGATTGGACAGGTCAACTAGCTCTTGAGAAAGGGCTGCGCCATAAAACTGTCCCAATCATCATGACGTGCGACTAATCCGTATAACCATCATCTGAAGCACTTCATGACGAAGTCCCCACCTTGTACAAAGAAGCACTTGTGGGACGCACTGCAAAAGAATGCCAGGAACACGGGATAATTACTGTCGGCAATTTCTGTTGAGGTTCTCGCAGTCGGACTTGGGTGAAAGCGTAAGATTTTTAGTTCGGACCCTATCATTCAGCACTTTCAGCGAATCCTAGCAAATAAACCTTGTGTATCTTAGGGAAGTATACGAGCACATGCATTATTCCACAATGCATACCGAACGACATGAGATTTGCCTTCCAAGAGAAGTTCGCCAATGCTGGGTTGCGAAGGTATGCGCAACAACGACAGTGTTATGGCTGCCAGGTCTTGACGAGTGAGCGACCGATAAGACTGCGCACGTAATGGAAAGACCGCTTCGCATTTGCTCCACGGTCTTATAAACATGGAGATAAGTAGGAAAGGCCGGAAACATCACGAAGTTACTCACTTCAAATGATGTACTCTGTGATTGTTCTCACTTTGTTAGAGCAGTTCTAATAATGCTAGTCGGAGTTGGGGGTGAAAGCGGCTACTAAGTACATGATATCTAATATTTTGGTTACCAGAACACCCCGAAATTTACCTCACGTTCAATTGTCATTTAAACTGAGACTGGATGTCGCAAGCCAAACAAAAGGCCGGTATCGGAAATTGGACAATAGTTGGACAAGTTAACTTACTAGACAGCCGCTATGCGAATAAGATACACAACCAAGTTCAGTATGATACAAGCTGCTAAGTATTCGAGTTGTAGAATAACATTCTAATCATCTTCAGCTGGGTTCTAGCGGTGGCTGAAAGTCAGTGATCTTAAGCTATCAGTATTTGGGGGGGGTGCACACAAATTTTCCTGCTTGCCTTGATCAACACTCATGAGAATGAATTTAGGAAAAGTGCTTGAAAACGCAATCGCTCTGTTGAGTCGCAGCTTCAGCTGTAGGCTTGGCATGACGGCTACAGTACCTGCTGTTCACGATGATTTTGGGATCAATATACCCACACGACTTTCCTGGCCTGGGAAATTTTCACGGAAGACACCTGCGGCAGCATCCAAATTGCGGGAAAATTAGGAACATCATGTGGTCTTTCCGATCGCCTTTGTGATTTCCGTCAAGGAGCACATTTGGCCTCGGCAACAAAAGTCCAACACGCTATTTAGCAACGTTGCAATGCAAAATAGCGTATTACGGTTAAGAAATTAAGAACTGAAACAGCCTGTTGCTGTTCTCTGTCGCCAGTTGTTAGAGCAACGCAGTCACACGGCTATCAAGGTTTCCGTGCTTGAACGTCATACTCGACTTGGCGTCCCAAATAGGAAAAGGGAATAAGAGAATGGATGGATCAGTCAGGACTTCTGAATGCCCCGTGCTAGACAGACGTGTCAACCATTCATTTTGGACACCGACCTAGGGCACCTTGAACAATCGAGTACGTCGAGGTCACTTTCCCACGGTGAAGCCTGCAAGTGATGTTCGTCGAGCCTATAAGCACAAGTCTGTCGGGGATACATCTGTGAACTCTGCGCTCTTGTTGAATTACTTTGCAGTGACGCGATCACGTGGTCATTCTTCAAATCTCAATGCCGCAAGTGAAGAATGGAGAATCTAGGACGAGGACTTCGATAGGTGGCGGCTTACCCCTCGAGACATGCGTCGCATCAGCCCGAACGTTAGGGTGTTTGCCTTCGACTTGAATTAAGTCGAGCATGGATGCTCGGTTAATAATTGCTAAGTGGCATCCGTGAAGAAATTTCCGATGCATTTTAATACTGAACTATGAATGCCATAACACTGAAACTCAAAAATACGATAAACCAGAATACCAAAGGCTCTTGAGAAATCCAGGTGAATAACATCAACACCCATCGACTCACCTTGCTGACCATCATGTTCATCACATGGAATGTCGTCGGCATCCGAGAAAGGGCCATCCAATCAAGGATACTTGCATCGTGCTACCGGTGCCCGTAATCGCGTTGTCGAAACGCCAGCGTCTATCTGAACGCGAATCAAATGCAACCACGGCCTGCGCACACAGGGCCCAAGTGTTCTTCTCCGTTCATACACGGTATTTGTGTTTTTCTGAGGGGACTACGACACACCTGTGAGTAGAACCGTTTTCGGGATCTACACATCATTCTTGCAGTCGTGATATTTACGGTGCGCTCCCAATCAAGGCTTTCACCTTTGAAACGTGCTGTATCTAATCAGCGAGTTCAGACATTATATAATCTAGTACTGTGCAGAACGGTATACCATAGTCACAGGCTATTTTTGTCATCTCATGTTGCCGCCATATTTTTACGTGCATTTCACTGCACAAACCCTTTGTGATTTTGGCTACCCGTGCGCTTAGTGACGCAGCACTACCAAATCCGGAGCGCAAGCTAAAAGTGCATACAGACTATCGATCCATGGACCGGAGAAGTTTGTTGACCGGAAATCCCGTGAGCAACAAACCCAAGGTCAGTCGAAGCTCAGACAGGCGGAGAACAGAGATCCTCTCGAAAATCAAGTGTTTGTTCTGTGACAATTCCTACGACGCAAAAAATGTGAACATTACACTTAACAGCGATAACAGTGTATCGACAGATAGGTAGTGGTTCTGTGACTTATCTTCAGATAATCCGATGATTCAGATTGTCAAACGCTTGCGATAAGATGTGAAACGTTGGCTGTTACGTCGGCAGACCAAAAGGAACTGATCGCGGTATTGGGCTGGAAAATCTCAGGACCCGAGCTGCAGATTAGTGAATTACGTAGCCCGAATCCCCGACCTGTTAAAAGGGAAAAGCACTCTAGCAACAATGCTACGTAGTGCAGCGAAAGGCAAACACCATTAGTGATAAGCAGTAGTAAGAAAAGGCCGGTTGAACGGTCTCCCAATTCTCACATAATGCTCCAAAGCATGAAGAGTTACACACAGATTGCACAATCACTTCCGTCAGTAGCTGGACAACAACAATTTACTCATACAGATAATGCAACTAACGGTATTTACACGTAAAACATCTTGCTGTAGCCTTGGTCTGTCGGCCACGGAAGACTAGTCAGACACTCCCACTCGACAAACCTAGGTTCACAAGAAACTGCAAACAATCACTACGCAAACAAAAGATGATGACAGTGATATGGTCAAACGTCCCAGAACCCACTAGCGAGTCGCTAAAAGGTAGACAAGCCGAGCAGCGAAATCACTGGGCTAAAATAACCTGCGTACTCGGACTGAAAGTGCACCCAACTAGTCTTATACGCCCTTTACGAAATCCATCATCTCTACACGTAGGGGAGCCTCGCTTACTGCGAAAACCTTTGACAACACATGCGACCTGGAAGATGTTCTCTTAGCAAGCCACATTCCTGCGAACACTTCTGTCAGTGCCAGCATTTTTCCTGGCAGGCCATGGGCAGTAAGACAGAAGCGGAAATCCCACCCTAGTTCGTCACGTCGAAATGAGATGAAGAAAGTGGTACTGGTTCCTGGTGTGTGAGAATAGAAGCATGACGATAGCAGTGAACGACAGAAACACGACATCGAAGAATGGAGGTATATCACAGATCTCTACGACATGTAAAATGCTGTGGCTTTTGACATCACCCGTCTAATTTCCTCCAAAAAGTACCAAGGCAGTGGGCCACGAATTTTGAAAGTTAACTTGACTGTCCCCGAAATGATATCAATGGTGATCTACGCATGTCATGACAACAGGAAAACAGGGCCACCAGAAGTACGATTAAGACCATTTCTTCAAGGAGTACAGACTTTAGATACAGAGGATTTAGTCTCAGTTGTACCTATCTCAGATCAGCCAACCGTGCAAACAACCGTTTCATAAAACTTCAGCAGACGGGCACTATTTGTGCCGTTCACTCACAGCGAACCGAGCTACTAGTGCGTCAACAAATACAATACTGCCACATCAACACTCAGCGGTTGTATTCTAAGCTCTCGGAAATGCGTCATCGACATGAGACCACAAATTTAGACCTCATAGCAGTTATTGAAACTCGGCTTTCACACGACATACTTGATCCAGAGATTGAACTCAGTGACACGTCAGTCAATCGAAATGATCGTCCATCTCTCGGTGGCGGTGTTGATCTCTACTATCGAAATTACTTGAAATGTGATGCCCTTACTGAAAATTCCTTTGTTATTCCCGGCGCACTATTTTGCCGAATGCATCTAGCAAGTCGAGATGTTGATTCACAGAAGACGCTTGATCTTTGTCTCCTAGCAGTTATCTATAGGCCTCCGAACACGTCAGCAGACAACGATGACATTCTGTTAAACGCTGTCCGTTATGCTGTTCCACAAAATTACTCTCACTATCTTATAAGGGGAGACTTCCTTTCCTTCAATAGCATCAATGTCCACTAATGTGCCATCATTCATATCGAAGATCCTTGATTTTATGGATATGGCAATTTCGCATAACCATGTGCATCCACCATTCAGGCATCGCGGTTCAAACAAGCCATCACTCGTGGACTTAATCCTGACTAATGAAGAGCTGATGGTTGAGTCAGTAGCATACCGCCCTCCACTGGACCGTAGCGACCATTCAGTCCTAACGTTTGGTTATTTGTGTTATGCCAGTATTGTTGATAAAAGAGGGACTCAAGGAACTATTATGGACTACTTTAAGCTGCACAACTTAGCAGCAACCGTTGATTGGAAACTACGGACGCACAATTCAGCGAATGATGCATGGAATGCATTGCAAGTTAACATTAATTGGGTCATACAATCAGAATCAAAGGCTGTGCCATTACGATCATCGCGCCGGACCAATACGTGGATCCAAGCAGGACACGTAAATGGATCAACCGAAGAGATGAGATCTGGAGGCAACATTCAATAAGCCCATATGATATCACATGTCAGCATTACAAAGCGATCAGAAACTACTGCACGTCGCACATTCGAGTCGGTAAGTACGTATGGCAGGATACCACGGTACTGAAATTTACGAGTAACACTAAACTATTATACAGATTTGTGAATGGCAAAAGAATGGTTAAGCCCGGAATACCACCACATAAGACGGCTAGTGGCCTAACATCTACTGCTGTGGATTCCGCGAACGCTCTACTCCTGCAGTTCGGCTCAGTAGCTACAAATAGCATCAAACCTTCGCCCCTTCAACTATCAACTCATGTCGTTAACATATCCAGCGTCACCGTTACTCCAGCAGCTGTTGCACAAATACTACAGTCTCTCTGCGAGTACAATGCCCCTGGCATCAACATGATCTGCCCAAAAGTACGGAAACCCTTTGCTCCCACCATAGTAATACTACTTGCAATCCTTTTACCGCGTCTGCTTAACACCCATACACTCTCATCTGAGTGGAAAATTAGAATTACCACTCCAGTATACAAAGAAGGTAAGCGATCCGATTCTGCCAACTACCGACCTATCACTCTCTTTCCTGTTTTATCAAAAGTGATACAATCGGTAATCGCAGATGAAATGACCCGATACTTTGAAACTCTACAAATAATTTCTAATGCCCAACATGGTTTCAGACGCAGGCGATCTTGCCCCACCAATTTCTGCGTACTCGGGACTTCTGGACCAGGGTGGCTGTTGAAGGAGTCTCGATAGATATGATTAACTTGACTTTTCTAAAGCATTCGACACTGCCAATCACTTCTTTCTGCTCCAAAAGCTTCTTGTCTACAGTCTCAACGGTTCTCTGCTCACCTGGTTGGAAGACTACTTACACGACACAGAAATCAAGGTAAGGGTAGCCGGCACTCACTCTTAAAGCCGATGCGTCTCCAGTGGTGTACCGCAAGGATCTGTTCTCCGCCCACTACTAATTTTAGTCTACATCAATGATCTCCCAACCGACATTCTATCTCCGATGCAAATATTTGCAGATGATGCTAAGATATGGAGAGTAATGCGCTCAGTATCGGACTGTGTCCATCATCAGGATGATCTGACTCGGATTGACGAATGGGCAGAAACGAACCAGCTCCCACTAAACCATTCAAAATGCCAACTGCTGGCGATGCGCAGCAGCTTCGCCAACACGCCTTTTGGGCCAACACGTCCTGCAACACGTAACTAGTGAACGCGAATTAGACATAATCGTGCAAGAATTTTGACAGTTCGCGAACTTGAACTTGAGACTTTTGAGGTGAGCTCTCGGCACCTTTGAGCGACGGGTAGTACCAATGTTGATTAACTCCTATATTCGTCCTCATGTTGAATATACTATTCAGACCTGGTGTCCATGGTTAAAACGAGACATTCGCCTATTGGAACAACCCCAAAGTAGAGCCACAAATCCAACGCGTGGACTATCCGGTCTAAGTGACGAACTGCTTCTTCGTGTAATCGATGTGTTCTCATCAGAATACCGACGGCTTCGCGCAGATCTTACTCTCACATACCGGACACCAACTGAAAGCGAACATCCATGTACATCACTGTTGACCCTAACCCCTTACAAACAAAGCCGAGGCAACCACCTGAAACTAATGATGTAACACTGCCGTCTGAAATGTAGAAAATATTTTTACTCACTTAGAATCTGTTCTCCGTGGAATGCATTACCAAGATATCTGGTGAACGCACCAGATATGACGACATACAAAAGACTCTTAGACTTTCATCTTAGTGGTAAACGCTACACAACAGTTTGATAAAGTGCAGTGGTTTAACCTCTGATACTTCACGTTCCACGCTGGGATTTTTTGATTTGACTTTTCTTTTGCGCATCCATCCTGTGGATCTTGTAATCTTATGTATTTTATCCCGTCATACACTATGGAGGTGTTGAACTATAATTGATTTCGGAACGGTAAACCTTGGTGCTGTAACCTCATAATCTTTCACTATATGTCGTTAGTAAGGTGTAACAGATCGAAACCCAGCACTATGGATTTGCAAGGCGCTATTCAACGGATCGAACTGGCCGACAGGAATCGCATGAACGTTGAGGAAAAAGACAATTTTTATGCTTGCTCAACTGATGTTAATTTAGGGTTTTAAATTCCCCGAAGAACGATGTAGGCGAATTGCAGTGCCTATGGAAGGTGCTGTCAAAGTAACTACTCACCAGCAGTAAGTTGCTGGATGCGCTACAGATGCGCTTTTGTAAAATGTGCTTTATCCCTGAACCAGGAATGTCCAAATTGACTTCCAGATCACAGTCTGCAGTAAGATGCGATCTAAACTTTGCAACTGATTCAGTTCATATTATCTGCAATTTATGGTCAGGTGTGGTCAAAAAACGACAAACAAATCCACCCTCGCAAGTTAAGACATCCCCTCAGTTTCCGGTATTTGATATGATAGCTAATTCTTTAGCTCTGTGCATCGTTGGGTGTATTAGTTGTGACTTGCCCCACTAGTTTGCATTTTGACAATGGCTGCCATAGCTGTGAAAATGGGAATCGCCGGGAACATTGTTTAACATCACTTTCGTTCACAACCTTTTTTTTCTAAACGAACAGTCCATCAATTCAATGGAAAGACTGCCCACGCGTGAGGCGCTGTATATACGTTTTTCTCGCTTCGTGGAAGTGAAGGAGCTGGAACCAGAGGATCGAGCAACTGACAAGACGTGGATGCGTTTAACACCGACAGACAAGGTAATTTTAATCGCCCGATAGGGTTTATCGCAGTAATTCGAATTTTTCGCGTTAGGGCAGATGTTATGTCAGGTTCAGCGAAATAGTATCCTTTCACCAACAAAGACGTAAACGAGAGAAAATTAAAATATAACCCTGCTATTATTGCACCCATGTAGTATCGGTTGGTAGTATCCATAACTGGTCCATAGGACATCTAGACTACCAGTTCGAACGAATTTCCTAAAAACTTATTGAGTCAAGATGCACTCTTTGCAACTGGCACGGATCCTGTGGTCGTCATTCAATTTCTATGCGATTTTCCTACCGAGTCCCACAGTGGAACATTCCAGCCTCAAGTAGTTCGGTGAAACTGTTCATTTTGCTCGTGTCTATAATAGAAGCAATTCATTAACGCCGGCTAGTAGTTTGCGCCGGGCCTTTCACCATCGAATACAGCAGGGATTCAGCTTAGGGGGAAATAAAGATGGCCGCTATAGCCACCTCAGTGAAACCACTTGGAGTCTTGGACCACCTTATGATGCAAGTACGATGAGCTCTGGTCTCTCAAGTAACGCAGTGTAATCTTTGTTGGCAATTAATTCACCGGGTCACCTCGAGCCTGTAGAAAAGCACTCTTCTGCTACTGCAGCCAGTCAACGTTACCATCATTTGCACGTGTTTCACTTATCAGACCGATTGACATATTTATACCTTATCATATATGGTCTGACACCTGGTGGCGCGGTACACACGCGGACAGGGAAAGCAGGCGATTGGCGAAGAAGTGAACTGTGTTTGCGTTCTAAGTGCTAACGGGGCCTGGCCAAACAAGAGGTCACCTAGTCCAACATCATTCATCATAAGAGGAGTTAGCTAGAGGTATAAAACACCTCAGCTACCGTGCCACAATACATCAAAGAAAAAAGAAAGTAAATCAACAGTTGCATGCCAGCTGAGCTATCAGCAACGGATGGGCATGGTTCCGGAAAGCTACCCGCCGGCAACTAGACAGCAAAAAATTATTATGTAAAATTATCTTATGCTACGAACTGGAATCGTGGTTGGAGGAGGCTAAGAAGGATGGGCAGGGACAAAGAAACTCACAGCATGAACGCCACTGATGTTGGCTCCTAGCCATGTCAGCAAGTGTATACAGCCAAACGTGTTCATCGTCTTCGGACCCCAACCAGGGAGCCGTGAAGCTCCAACCTAGGTCAGCTCCGAAGTGAGGGTCTTCATTTCTCTTGACCAAGCCATCGCTTGGCCACCTCTCCTCTTCTTCCATGCACACCCCGGCAAACAAACTACGAACGTCGTGGGAGCCCGTGGGCATGAGTAACACGTGACCGAGCCATCGGAGCCTGGTGCGTGAAATGAACGTGCTGAGCGGTTCAGTTACTTTTTCTGCGCTGTAAACAAGGAGTCGAAAACGCTCGTTGCACACGCGGTGTTCCCACCAGATGTGAGCCAAGCTGCGAAGGCATCGATGGTCGAACCTAACTAGCCTCCTTATGCCGGCTGATCCAAGGGGCCAGGATTGGCAACCGTAAGGTAGGCTCGAAAGTACCGCTACACTGTACACGCTACGCTTCAGCGCGAGAGTGATGTCGCGCCACCGACATACGTGGCGAAGATTAGCAAAAGCATCTCGAGCTTTCGCTATACGGTTCGTGACCTCATCTGCAAGGGCGCTGATACACCTTCCCATGTAGTTGAATTGCTCAACGACTTCTAGCTGATCCCCATCAGGCAACTCAATCATTTTGGTTATTCCCATTCTGTTGTTCGAATTTGCCACCCCATATTATTCGCAACGAGATTGGACCTTAACGTGGTGCGGCTGTTTGCGTACTACCTTGACCCATTGTTATACTGGATGGTGCCTCCGGGCAACTTGAGAGCTACTCCTACCAGGTTGCTTAATGGTGACAGGTCAGACAAACCCAGTCTCCTGGTCCTCCAGGTTGGGGGTTTGAAATGAGATGGCGTCCATTTCTGTAAAACCAAATCATTGCCACCTCCCCCTGCCTCGCGGACAGGCTTTTGAGCTAAAGGCTTTGGATGAGGACCCTAATCGTCCTCCTGTCTAGGTCTGAACGCCCTGGCAGTATCTCAGCCCAAACATAACCATGATATATTTTTCAAACCTAAACTTCATCCTGCATCGGCTGTCGCACAGATTATCAAGGGTCGCCTTATCTGCTGCAAACAGCACGGTGGATAAGCGAAAACATGCTACTTCTGGCGCCTCTGTTCTTCCTTTTCCACCTGTTTCCCTTGCTCCCATCCCGACCCCCATCACTAACATTCCTTCTATAATTCCCAGCTTAATAAGGAGCAACCATAATGCCATTGGACTAGTAGCATTTGCAGCTACCTTCCCGCACCACAGACTGGAAGTCTATGGGCAACAGTCCCTCATAAGTCCCAGCCGTCTCGCTTCCATGGCGACATTCAACGTTCGTACTCTAAGACAAACAGGTCAAAAGGCTGCAATCGAACGCATCTTGGACACACTGGGAGTTGATGGGTGTTGTGTGTCCGAAACTATACCATTTCCGAGTCATGTTAGGCCATATGGGTAGCGACTTAGGCTAACCAGATATCAACTTAGTCTGGTACGCTAACAGGTTACTCCTTCCGATGAACTAAGTTAAGTCAGGCTTCTGTGACATGCGCGCACCGTCGTGTGGGTGGTTCCTTAGGCAAGCGCTGTGGGCCAATAACATGTCGAATGCATAGTAGACATAGCAACTGTCCGCGTGTGTAGGGTAGGTGGGTGAGGGGAATCACTACAACCCGGAGTTTGCTCGTGTACGACTTGGTACATGGGCGGTGACGGATTACATGACGGCGAATGGGGGTAGTACCTCGTTAACATCTGAGGTCACCCACGGCAGGCTACGAGGAAACGGGGTCAGTCTATGATAAGGAATTTGAGCGCGATTCACACCACCATGATGACAGAGCCTGTTATGGAATCGGGTCACTGGCTACTCGCATTCTGACACGGCCGACAATCCGTGTCACTAAGCTAAACCCCAGGCGCATGTCCGTACGATCTACTGCGTGCTGTGAACACATGACGCGCACCGGGCACTAGGTACAATACGAGTGGCACATTGAAGCGCATAGGCCACTGGTTACTTTGGTCACACCGCTAAATCGCATGTGCACCGGTAGACATAGGCACATGCACTGGTGAGATGGTACCAACGCAGAAATCTTTCTGGCGTCCTACGATTGCGATGGGCGATGTAGCAAGGTGGAAAATAAGGTGGTAATGCAGCTGACACATGAGTTGCCTTAGTGCTTGTTCCACGGCTAGCACGCAATGCGCCTCAAAGCAACGTGTAACAGTTACACTGAGTATTGTTTAGTAGGGGCAATTAAGTGAATGCTGAAGGAGTCCCGTAGGTAGGTAGGGAGTAGACCACAAAATCCAAAGATTATAGTGACACCACAGTTAGGTGTATACTAATGCTGCGGTGATACCATGATTTGCTATGGGTAGAGAAGTAGCGATGCAAGACGACGCTGAGAATGGGATGTCTACACAGGGAGCGGCTTACGAACTGCTTGTACGCCGTCGCGTGCTCCCACAGGAATGCCTTCCTACTGAGGGCAAGTGTGACTGAGTCTCGCTTGTTCCGCAGACAATCAGCGCAGCGTATCATAGCGTGGGAAGTTCGACGCTCTCCATCTGGTTATGCATTACATACCACAAAGCCAATGTTTCCGCATATGGAGTGTGTGACCAATCATTTTTTTAACCAGAATGAAGTATCTAACGGAGGGTGGATGAACAACCTAGATTAGTACTTGCTTCTGTGTGGACTACCATAGACCATTAAAAAGGTGTTTGAGCCACCTGGCTGTCGACTGTGTTCGCAATCAGCAACGAGTCGGATGCGTCAGGAAACGGTTCATGGTCCCTTTACTGCTATACTCGTACTGTTCCGGTGCCATAGGTATTTTGTTGACACTCAAAACTTGTTATCGGCTCTCGACGGTTCGTGACATATGCTAATCGCCTCACAGCTTAGCTGGTAACGGCTTTAGGAACTAAGACGTTGGCTCGGTTTACAGAATAGTTAATCGCTTCTCCTACCTGGGTAACTGAAAAGTTCCATGTGCAGACAACACACTTGCTCATGAATTTACGTAATCCTCAGATCCTTAGCAGAATACATGCACGCCAAGGTTATCGGGAGACATAGGTGAAGAAGCCGCGGACTAGGCTGGTGTACGAGTTGTGTTTACTGCGCGCGCAGAAGCAGCGCTACTTGTTTGGATTCTAATTAACGACTAATCCTGTGCGATTTAAGTAAAAGCCTCCATACGATTGCGCAGCGGCGAGGTAACCAAACACTTTTGTTTGACGCAATAGTGCATGTTTCCACGAGTTACAACCCGGACTCGGCTAAAGATGAGTTCTACCGTCAACTATCTTACCTACTCCATAAGAATCATTGCAGGTATATGGTGGTTCTCATCGGAGACCTCAGCGCACCGGTTGGTAGGCTGGAAACGTTGGAACAAGATGTCTGTAGTCTGGGTTGCTATGATATTCGCATGACGGCTTAAAAAAGCAAAAGAAAAGCATCAGCAGTATGTCATTACGCAGTACGGACACCTCCTCACGGATCAATCCTTGGCTTCACAGTCTGTGTTGTTCCTACACTTCACAGACCGTAGCCATTATGTATCACAATTCACCGTAGGGGGACAGCTGTTTCGTGACCACAAGGAAAAATCACCTGCTCACTGGGGTCTTGTAGCGATGACGAATAGGGAACGCCGACAGACAGATGACTGACCGCAAACAGATGACCAGCTTTGGGTAAATGATACAGCTAGTTTCGCGAGATGGGATAGAGGCAATCGGTTGACCCCAATACACAGGCTATTGGGGGGGGGGGAGTTGGAACATGAGAAGTGGAGAAATAAATTATCAGTAATACTGTGAACGTGCAGTTTACCGAAAAGCGATGGCACGAAGAGGACCGTATGCTCAC